GAAGAATCTTCCAAATCTCGTCATTTGCATCATGGAGGACGTCACGAGAGTTTCATCCAAACATGAAGACGTGGAAATGGCAAATCGCAACGGACATTACCATGCAGTAGGTTCCATATTCTCTTTGGTCATTTTTCAAAGACCTTGACTTGTTGCAAACATTTTTGACTTCCAAAAATTACTTTTCGCAGAACGAAAACAAAGGGTATCTAGCAGACACCGGAGAAAACGCAGGAAATAAACCCGGATGGAAAGAAAATCAGATTGAGGAAGATTTTGATCCTTGGGCTCTGCCCGAACTTCAGGATCTTGGACCAAAATGGTCTGGTAAGTTTCGTTGCGTTCAGTCTGGTTGTATTCTTCGACTAACTTCGTCATACCACAAAATTCCGAAAATGACCCCCGCGGGTATTAAATGGTTTTAAAAGTAATAATGCGTTAATAAATAGATAATTAAATAAATAAATGTAATCAAAGGCCTCTTTTGTGGGGAAACTTTCATCTTCAAAATCCCGCGGGCTTTTAATTGTAGGAAATTTGTGTCAACAATTTTCAAAGGATAATAACAGGATTCTAGAAATTCGTGCGAAGTAATTCTTCAGAACTTGCAAACTTAAAAGTGACAGCAATAACGGAACTTCATTGAAAATGAAAATGCTGAACTAGTACGTGATATCATAAATTTAATGCGATGACCTGATACTGTCGCCCATCGTTCAAAAAGGATAGGATAGGATAGGATAACTGCTTTATTATCGACAGAGCGCCTACAGACACATGTGTTTACAACGATAACAAAGATTTTAGTGCAATAATTACAGAGGTGTACATTTGTAGAATTTATACAACTAAACAAGGTTATATTTAACGCGTCTATCTCTTTCGCGGAAGCGATCACATACGTATTTAGCCACAATTTCTTGCGTTTTCTCTCCTTGCTTCATACTTATCGAAGTTGCAAAGGCAGAGCTTGGCGTCATAGAGTAATAGAGTCATAGAGTCAAGAAAAAGGAGGGCGCATCATCTTACGTGCTAAGTGATCAAAAATTAAGCTTTTAGCATCACCATCGTCATTTCAGTTGTAGTATCAATATTAGGAAAGGCAAAGTATTTTAAAACAGCTCAGTTAAGGCTTATTCAAATGGAGTCACGCGATATATTTCTGAAAACAAAGAAAAAAAGAGAAAAGGAAAGAAAAAAGAAAAAAATAGTAGAAAAACGTAAATACCATGTACATAAATAGAAATACCTGAATAAATTGTTGTTGTTGGCATTATTTTCCCTCTTTTTGGCCCTTACTTTCTTATCATTTAGCAAGAAACTCGTTTCAACTAGCAAAACATGTTACATACAGAGAACAACAACTGATACATAATGCAAACGAGAATAATGTTTTCTTGTCAATGCCGATGTAACAATGTCAAATGATAACCTCACATCAAATCACAACAGGGTTTACAAATGCCTTGAAACCTGTTGCTAACAACAATGCTTTACCAACAATTGCGACTTCAGTGCCGGATCCAGACCTTGAGATAAGGGAGGTTGGGGAGAGCGGGGGTTGGGTGTGGTCTCCAAAAACATTTTTGGATCCGCCATTGGACTTATGATTGTGTGATCGAATCTTTCTGTTCCCTGACCAATAGAGCTCGACTGCAAAGGAAAGTTTCTTCGCGTCGCTTTGGCGTTTACCAAGATTGTCTTACTCCTTGGTCTTCTGTACTTGTTCATCTGTTCGTTGGATTTCCTAAGCAGTGCCTTTCGCTTGTTGGGAGGAAAAGCCGCTGGCGAAGCCTTCGCTTCGAATGAAATTCTCAGCAACCCCGTTGCTGGCCTTATGATTGGCATCCTGGCAACTGTTCTTGTTCAAAGCTCGTCCACTACAACTTCCATCGTGGTCGCAATGGTGGCTGCTCGCAGTAAGTTTTGTATTTTATAACAACAATGTTGCATGGTTTTGGAAGATCAGGGGCACCCAACGTCAATTTTCGGAAAATATCTGTTCGGAAGACGATTTGAGATCTAGATTTTTTCGGAACATTTGTTGTAAAATTCATTGCTTGCCTGCCTCTCCTAGGATTTTCGAACATCTAAAAAATTGTATAATTGCCCTTTTTTAACAGAGTTTTACTCTAAAAGGTCACCCAGAATTTTCGGGAGCCTTTTTTCTGGCTGACATTTTCGAAAAGGTAAGTTTTGATCCCTATAATTTTCGGATCACTAGACTTTCAGCTAGGAAATCCGAACAGATGAAAAATTTTTAGGGGATAAAAATATGCCTATGTCTACCGTTTAAATACTAAAATACGTTTAACAGTGCTATGTTTAAGTGGTTTTGAACTATATTCTCGTTGGGTGCCCCTGGAAGATATTTACCAGGCTAGGTCACAGGAGCTACGAATCTCATTTCCATGCAATTTTAGGATCATATATCTCATCAAACCGGTTTGGAGCTGATGTGCATATTTGTTTTCATTGACGCTGACAGCTGCGATTTGATCCTACGTGACTCTCTACGATGCATGAAAAAAGAATTGCTCGAAAGCTTACTTAGAGAGGAAAGTGCTATAAAAATTGTCACAAATTCTTTTCCAAAAAATTCACACTTCAAGTTTCAAGTATATGAAAGGGACAGAAGTCAGATGAGAAGTACACACTCTGTATGTTTTTAGAAGTCAACAGGATAAAAGGAATTTAGGGTCCGCGACACTTGTATTACTGTACCAGGCCAAACTAAATATTGCCAGGCAAAACGGCCATGCCAAACAAAACATATTATTCATAGGTCGCGTAGGAATGAAGTAAAGGAACCGTGTTGTTAGTCCCTGGCATTCTTATTACTTTTTTAACTCCTGAACGGCAATCGCTAGAATCCCCATACAGGCCCTTGTTGGGCAAATATAATTGACACCCTTAAGCTAGGGTTACCTCCGTTTTCAAACGTATGTCAGGTACTTATCAGAACTTTACCTTTCAGTTGTGGATGTTAAGCCTGCAATTCCAATCGTAATGGGAGCGAACATTGGAACATCAGTCACCAACACCATTGTCTCCTTGGCTGAAGCTGCCGAGCGAAATGAATTCCGTCGTGCCTTTGCTGGAGCCGTCGTACACGATATATTCAACTGGTTGTCTGTCATTGTGTTTTTGCCTCTGGAAATAGCTTCCGGCTACTTGCGCCGACTAACTGGAGAGATCATTGACTCCCTCAGTCTCAAAACAAATGAAGGTGTCAACCAAAAGTTGTTGAAAACAATAACGGAACCATTTACCAAGCTCATTATTCAGTTGGATAAAAAAATCATAACGAAAAATTGCCCTTGGACACAAATCTCTTGAATCAAAGTCTCTCATCAAAAGTTGCAAGCCGAAAACTCTCATTGGGGAGGTCAATAAGACTGTGGAAAATGTTACCACTGGGAGTATAAGTTATAAACTTGTGAACGAGTCGTCTACAACAGATCCTTCCTGCTTCCTTTTTGCGGACACTTCACTGAGTGACACAGAAGTTGGTGTCATAATCCTGGTGATAGCTATCGCTCTTCTTTGTGTCTGCCTTATACTAATCGTCAAAATCCTTCATTCCATGCTTCGCAGTCAGATGGCCAAGATTATCAAGAAGACCGTCAACGCAGACTTCCTAGGACCATTTAAGCATCTCACTGGTTACTTTGCCATTTTTGTTGGTGCTGGGTTAACAATGTTGGTTCAGTCCAGTTCCATCTTCACCTCTGCCCTTATGCCTCTTATCGGAGTCGGGGTGGTGTCTCTTGAGCACGCCTTTCCACTCACTTTGGGTGCCAACATAGGAACAACTGCATCAGGCATTCTGGCAGCCCTGGCAAGTACCTCAAACTTGGACAAAGCTCTCCAGATTGCCTTTTGCCATCTGTTTTTCAATATTTCTAGTATCCTATTGTGGTATCCAATCCCTTACGTTCGCAAATTACCTATCAACACGGCAAAATTCCTGGGCAACAAAACTGCAGAGTACCGCTGGTTTGCCTTGGCTTACCTGATTTTTGGATTCTTTCTCCTTCCTGCAGCTATATTTGGCTTGTCACTGGCTGGTTGGCAAGTCCTGGTTGGTGTGGCAGTTCCAATTGCTCTTCTTTTGCTGTTCACCATCATTGTCAACATCCTTCAGAGGAAAGCCCCAAAAGTTTTGCCAAAGGCCCTCCAAGATTGGAAATGGCTACCAAAATGGACACGATCATTGGAGCCATATGATCGTGTGTTTAAAAAATTGGCTGGACTTAAACCATATTGCTGCTGCGGTAGAAATCGGGAGGACTAAAGCAGAAAAAGAAAACCTCCATGACAGCTAGAAGCTAAGGGGAATTTATTTGGGTCGGACACAGCTCACAAACACGGATACGGGCAAAATGATCCTTTTTTTCACTTTTATTTAGCGAAGGTCACAATTATGTACATAATTTGAAAAGTTGTAAAGTCCACACTTTTAAAAGTGAATTTTGTTGAAAGTTTTGTTACAATTGTTTCAGTTATCATGCTGCAGTTTTTTCATGGCTTGCTTTGGGTGACCACTGATAAAGTAAGCACCCGCAAATAAGAACCTACTTTATTTAAGTCTGGCAAAAAAGCTTCTTGTATTTTTGGTTATTAAAATTGCAAATTCTTCCAGGAGGTTGGTAAACCTCTTGGCCCTCATTTGCGGGTGTATTTTAGTGAGTATAAGTCTACGCATTTTAAAATGGACCAACCTTTTTTGGAAACACGAATTAACTCTTAACTGAACTTAGTAGTTCTTGTCTAGTTGGAGAAATACAGCTCGTTAGATGACTGAACTACCCCTTTATTTGGCATTTGTAGCTGCAATGAAAACATCTTATACCGTCACTTTTAGTGTAACTTTTATTACATCAATAAAGCACCTTTTTGAGTATTATGAGTCCATTGTTGAGCCAGGGGTTTTTAGGAGGTACTTCCCATGATGGACAAAAGGGAGAGGCTCGGAGTACGAGGTTTGTAAGGGGCGTGTGCTTTTACGCGTTGTGTTAAGCAAAAGGGCAAGATAAACTTCCAGTTAGTAGAAAAGGATTGTTTTAAAGATAATCGCAGAGACGCACCTTTAGGAAGTACATTCCTGAACTTATTAATAAGGTGCAGTTCCCGGCCAAAAAATTTCTTCTTTCCGTATCTGCTGTGTTGTAGTCTTATTCACTCAGAAGCCTTCCAAGCTAATCCAGCGAGGCCTGCGAGAGGACAACTTCCTCCACTGTTTACGGGTAGTGTATAGATTCTAACATCCCAAGGAATTTCATATGAGCTTGCTTGCAAGTGTTCTGAGACGGTACCTACGGGTTTATTGTCCTGATACGAACTTTCATTACACTTGTAAATCAAGAGCATCTCATTATGGCTCTTGTGTAAATTCAATTGACTTAGGAGAAAGTGTTACCTCTAAAACTCGCGCCATCCGGTACCCATACCGGCGTTTATGCAATTGAGCTAACCAGGAGCGGTTGTAATCAGTTCCTTTTTCCCAGGCCTTAGAACAAAGCAGGATCAGATTTATCTAGCAGGCTATCTACTGCAAATTCCTTGCAAACAACGAAGGCCCCAGCCGATTTACCCGGTCTTACCTCCAGCGTAATTTTTTGTTAACAATACCAGTTTGAGCACTGAAGCACACCCCGGGAGGGGGGGGGGGATGCTTCCTTATATAAGCCATATGGGTATGTGCCGTCCAATCATGTAGGGTTTTGGGCCGTTTTGGTCTGAAAGCGGGTATGGTTTTCGAGGGAACTACGGAGTGTATAAACGTATAAACGGAAAGAAAGAGAAATATGCGAATTCGAAGTGGATTTGAATAGTTTTTGTGTTTGCTCTCTAATCTAAGTAATGATAACATAATTTCTGCCTAAAGACCAGGTCTAAAAACGGGGATGGATTTTAGAGTTCTAGTCTGAAAACGGGTATGGAAAATTACTTTTTCTGGTCTGAAATCGGGTCAGAATTTGGAGAACCGGGAAGCACACCCCCACCAAGCATTCCCAGGAGTACCCCCCCGGGAAGCAGGCCTACCAACCCCGCGGTACGGTCAGTACCTTACGCATGCGAAAGACCCTATCACTCCGGTAGTGGTAGCAATGGATAGCCGTTTCTTCCTATTTAGGACTCATCAGCATGGCGAGAGGTCTCGAGACTTCGAGACGAGAAGTCTCCCTTGCGACCATCCACCCGGCCGGTTACTACCGAGAAGAGTGCAATAGTACTGGTTTACTTGCCACCGCCACCGTAGAGAAGTGGTAGCTGTTGGTTGGGAACCGCAGAACAGTTCTCCCACGGTATGCGTATGGAGATGGGATCAGAAAAATTGACCTGTGTGCCGCTTTATTGGTAATTGTTCGTCCGCTGTTGCAGTAGGCGAGAATTAACCGTGCCTGGTTGCCCTCTGAAATCTTTCCGAAATATGGTAGTGCTGCAGAAAAGGAGAAAACAATAGCGAATAGATTACGGAGGGCAACCAAGCGCGGAAAATTCTCGCATGCTGTATGGGTATTTGATGTTGTGCTAAACTCGAGACAATAGGAAATTCCAAAGCAAAACCTTAGCCAGATCTATGAGATCTTTTCAGTACTTTGCTCAATTTTGCGCCTACGTTAGACAACTTTAAGTTTTTAACGGGCACGAAATTCAAGGGGTTTGTAGTACAGTAATCAATTGCAACACTGAAATTTTTTAAAGGAAATCCATCGACGAATTTTGGTTTAATCGCTGATTTCGTGAAAAAAAGAGCTCAGCATTACGTTTGACTGATTCAGATGTTTTGATGTTTTTTCGAAATTGAGCGAGTCTTATTGCGTTTAGCCAGTTATAGAGTGTATAAAGGTCATTTGCAAAACGAATGAGCGATAAAAACTTTTCGGAAGCATCCTAAAAGTTGCAAATTGGTCTGCATTAAGTCCAGCCTTCCGTTACTGCATAATTTATATCCTTTTTGTAGAAATTCAAAGATACCTCGAAATTCCTTATACACATTTTTGTGAAACTTCGTTCAATACGGGGGGGGGGGGGGTTTACTCTAGGATAGGGTATATAAATCAGAGCGTTTAGGTTCAGAATAGGGTATCAATTTTAAGGAAACTGATCAGTTGCTTGAAGATTTGATCTAGACTAGGGATTGTGGTATAAGGTTTTGTTTTGGCTAGGCTGTGCTAGTGACCTCTGTAGTTTCTGGAAAACAGCTACTCTAGGATAGGGGGGATTTGGGGGAGTCTACTCTAGTATAGGGTAGCAAAATTCAGCTGAACTATCCCTGGTCCCAGCGGCACATCCCCACCCAGAAATTCCTAAAGTACCCCCCCTCCCGGACCTCAATAGAAGACAAGCACCCAAAGTATACGTAGGGTAAAGCATTTCCAAAGAAAATGCCTATAAGGGCAGAAATTCGATTTAGAGCTAAAACTATCGTAACGTCTTTGTCAAACGTCTCGTTCAAACCACAGAGCGCACGTATCATATGAAGTTCATCTGCCATAGCGTTCAAGGGCACCTTCTTACTTACAGACCGCGGGCTAAGCGGTCAGCGGAAACGCCGGGACAGACTACCAGCTGAACAAACATCTGACGAACTCTGGGTACAAGATTGTCTCAAGGCTGGGGGAGTGATCAGGTGTTTTTGCTGTAGCGGCTTCCGAAGGAGGGTTCGCCTGGACTTGGGGTCTCCAAAATAGTCCACGTTCGATAAATTAAAATCCTAACACGACTCCGAGGCTTTCTGGTCATTTTTCAATATTTGGTTTTGTTTTCTGTGTGCTCAAGTCTCTTCTAGGAATTGTGAGACAAAAGAATCGTGAAAATGTGCAATTTTGACCCCTTAACCGCCTCGGAGTCATGTTACTATTTTAATACACCGAAGCTGGGCCATTGCTGGAGTCAGAACCCCACCCTCCACAGTAAATGGACTTCATGATAATTACAAGACAGTACAATAGAGAAATGATGTCACTTATTTCTGAAATTAAAGAATAGCTTGGCATCTTCAGAAAGGAACGGGTGAAAAATGTCCTCTTGCTTAAAATGAGCATATTGGTGCCAAAAGGTGGGGTAATATAAGCACCGTTATGTTCTGATGACTCCATATGAACCCTCTTAAAATAGGCCTAGATCGTAAACGTTACGGTCCAAGCGAATCTTAGAAGAAAGATATATTACATATGCACCGAGCTTGTTTCGTTTCTTGGCTTTACCAACGAGGCATAAAAGATGTGAAGCGCACCGTTTCGCTTCTATTAGCCTAATGAGGTATACTTTTTCAGTCAATAAGTTATACAGTCGAACCTCCACTAACGGCCACCTCTCTACAACGGCCACTATATTTTGTCCCGGCGGACAGTCCACACATTTACTCTTATACCGGAACGGCCACCTTTCTACCCGACGCCAACGGCCACTAACGCATGTCCCCAACTCTCAAAAATAACCTCTCGACAACAGCTAGTTTTTTCAGCGATTAATGAAAAAGTCATGAATGGTCACGAATTGGCACGTTTATGCTTCATTTATACTGCTTCAGTAAGCAAAAATTGTCTACGATACTTAAAGCTTATGTTGCGAATCTTGCTCGTTTTCTTTCTTAAACATCTTTGATTCAAGACATAATTCAAGCTTTTTGTGTATATTACATATGATTGGATTACCATGACTATGGGACATAGTAAATACACAAAAAACATGTTGTGCTCCATAAAAAATTGTCGTATAAAACCCCTACCTCCCGATAACGGCCACCTCTCCACAACGGCCACTTTCTTCTGCCCCCAAGGCGGCCATTGTGGAGAGTTTCGACTTCATTATTGAGTCGACAGTATTTTTTTCTATTTATAGAGTGTTTTTCATGACGTCACGTCCGTCATATTGGTGTCCCAAAAACAATGAAACGGTGTTGGTGTCTTAAACCAATCCTTTGGGAGTTAAATCCTTTTATTTTGTGAAAACTTATTTTTGCTCCAATAAATTTGTATCTAATCTTCAGAACACGTTACTGAATATGCTCTATACGACCCATTAAGGTGCAAGACAGGGATTGCAGAAAAGCAGCTTGACCCGTTTGAAAACGCTACAGTAAAAACCCTCGTGTAAGAACCTAGCGATTTAAGAACCTGCTGGCAGAAATTTTCCATTTTTATACCCCAAAATATAAGGACCTGTTTAGCCAAGCAAAATTTATTAGGTTCTTATATGTGAGTTATGGGATATTTTCATAAGCATTTTTAACTAAGAAGTATAAGATACTTTGTTTATAGTGTATATTTAACAATTATTCTTTGA